GCCGTGGCGCGCGAGCGGCAGCAGCAGCGGAGGCGAGCTAGGGCGGCCAGGGCACATTTTTAGGGGCGGCAGGGGTGGCATTCTGGCACCGGCCATGCCGCCCCTAAAAATGTGCCGCCCCAAGCACCAGCTTGTTTTGCTGGTGCCTAGAGCCGGCCCTGAACTCAATGTTTTCCACCTCAAGTGTCCTAGTTCAATTAAAAAGTTTTCATTTGTTACTGCCAGCCCTGAAAACTTAAGGTGGAATCTGAGAATCAAGCTGGGTTCTTTCTTTCTCATGTTCCCTCAGGGACAACAGTGCATCCTCAATTTACTGGAGCACTAGCACACAAATGAAATTAACAGAATTTCAACACTCTTACAAGAATGGATCCAGAAGGGGGAGTAATGGAAATGACCTGTGGCACAAACATAAACCTGAAGTCCTCAGCTAGTTTTGGTTGGCTTAGCTAGCCTACCAGTGGGGATGTTAAGTGTTTGAGCCCTCCAACATAAAAGTTTCATGATCTCAACAGTATTCTAAAACAAAGGCTTATTTTTAAAGAGGCTGGGGTTTTCAAATTTTGGGCTTATCCAACTTCAGTGTCCCTTTTAAATACAAAAATTGTAAAGCACAGAATGTAGCAGCGGATGAAAAATTCCTTCACGTTTTTGACTGCTGTGAGCCGGGTTAATGTCATGAAGGATTTCTCACTCTTAAACTGAAATTTGTGAAGTTGGTGACTTTCTAAACTCTTTTAAATATAACCGCAGAAGAATTTACAGTGACAATGGCAAGTAATTTTTTACTCCTGAGGACATATTTTAACCTCTGTGACTCCTGTGTAAAAGCAAAGTAACTCCACTGAAGTCATTCTAGATTTACATCAGTGTAAATCTGGCCCTCCAACTTTAATGTCATCTTAAACACTTGCAGGGAGGACATATTTCCCAGTTAATTTTCTTCTTTACCATTCATAAAATAATTGTTTTTTCCCCAGTGTTTTTAATAAGTTTAAAATAATCAGTCGAATCTTAAATTACTTTAAATCGGCATTGTTCCATGGAAGCCAATGGTGTAATGAAGTGAAGAATCAAGTCCACTTAGCTAATTATTTGGAGTTATTTTATGTTTTGATTGTATCACTTTAGGTAAAAACAGATGAACAGATTGTGCCCTCATTTATACCTGGACATTTTCATTGACAATAAGGGGGTTAAATAAATGTAACTGAGAATCAAATTTGGCTCAGACTATTTTCATTGCTTTTTTTTTAAATTTCTCTAATTATTGATAATTACTTACTTTTCTTCCTTATAGCGGCCAGTTCCTGCTCAATTCGTAGGCAGACAGACTGTGTAAGTTCAAATGATATTCTTTGGAAAGCATCAAAATCTTCCACTGTGTACACATGGGTTTCAGCAGGCAGTGAAGCAATTGCTTCCAATTCTGTACGTACTGCATCCTTAACACCAACTGCAAATATCTCTACATCTGATTCCCTCAATTTTATGGCTGGCTCTTTAAAGGCATCTGACGATTTTCCATCAGTAATAAGAATCATGACCCTTGGTACATTTGGTCTTGATCCTCTGTTGATAACAAATACTTTCTCCCTCACATAGGTCATCGCTTTGCCTGTGTTTGTAGATCCACCTCTGTAGGGGAAGGTGTTAATAGCCTGAATTATATCTTCAATTTTGTTGTATCTGTTCAAATAAAACTCCGTATAGGGATCCCTGCTGTACTGGACAAGACTTATTTGTACTTTTTGAGGTGAAATCTCAAAGCTTTTAACTAACACTTCCAAAAAGGCTCTTACTTTAACAAAATTGGCGATACCAATGCTGTAGGAGCCATCCACTAAAAGCACAATATCAGCTTTTACATCCACACCACGGGAGCATTCTGTAAAGAGAAAAAATTACAAGTATAAAAGCCAATAGTCATGGCACTTCTATTGCAGCTTTTCTAATCAGCTGACTCATCACTTATAAACACTAAACGATGATGGTCTTTGGTTAAACTAATTCCATTAACTAAAACTATGTCTTCCAGTAAGTGAAGGTGTTTTATTAAGAGAGACATTTAGAGGTATAAAAAAGAGCTACAATATCAGAATCATATTGATAACTTACCCACTTGAACTTTGACTGGTTGTGTTTTTTCCATTATTGTAATTGGCTCACTGGCTGCCATTCCTTTCATTGCATATATACTAATCTGGTACTCTGTTTCTGGAGAAAGATCTCTTACATTTAAAGCAGTAGTTTGAGGACCAACACTCAGCACATGTTGTTTGGCGCCTGCTATCATTGGAAAGAATTGCACTCTGTAGCCTGTTATTTGACTAGCAGATGGATCCCAAGTCACTCTAATAGATTTTGATGAGATTTGGGTGGCCACTAGGTTTGAAGGAGGCTCCACAGCTGAAAAATTAAAAACAAATCTTAAAAGATCAAATACAATGATAAGCAGATTTTTTTTTCAAAATTGATTTGTTTTTATGACCGACTTTTATGACAGATACAGTTGTATTTGCTCCAATTTTCTCTAGTTATTTAAAAAAAATAAAAATAATGTAGATGTAAATAAACTCAGCAGAGTGGTGGGGGACTCCAAATGAGGCAGAAGGTCAGCAACAAAAGCTATACTCCATATCGCCTCAAAAAGGACAATGGAAACCTTGTCATTCAAACCAGCAATAAAACTTTCCCTATCTATTTCCCGGAAACATATCAGAAGGTTTGAATGAATAAAGGCACCCACAGGAAACCACAGAAATAGAGCAGTCTACTCGGTCGTTGTCTAGAAGGGGAAGATTTTGGAATCTTGAAGAGGCATAGAAAGTGCAAGGCTACAGCTTGAGCACAATTTGGTTTCAACAGTCTTCAGTCTTTACCCATAGATCCTTGCCAAACCATATCTTCTGCCCCTTAACCCAAGCTACCTTGTCCTGCATAACCAGTGACACAATAGGGCATGATTCATGCCCTTCACATGTGTGTCTTTTCAAGTGAATTCTCTCCTTCAACACATTTTCCACCATGTGGTCTAAAGTGTTATGTTCTCAGGATTTGATAACTCTAAAGGTAACATAACAATTTGTAGTTATGGACTTCAGTGGGATATTTCAAATCCAGTCAACCACATGTGTTCTAATCCTCTGCTGTTTAAATCTATACAGCTGGAAACATGTCTTCCATATTCTAATGGCAGATTATAAAATGGATGGAACTATCAGAATAAGCATGGACCATCACATTAAAAACACATATCCGTACATTCCAGTTAACAATAAACTTTTGTAAAAGGTCTCACCTTCTTCTCCACTAACCAATTCACTCAGCTGTTCATCAACACCTGAGCACACTTGTGAGATTATTTCATTCTGTATATCCACTATTCCATCAAAATTTGCCACGTTAAAAACATGCTTCAAGGATGGCTGAGATGCCATAAGTTTCAGTTCTTTTGCATCTGCTGCTTTGATTCCTAAAAGTTATGACAGATGAGATCATATTATGTGTATAACATTTAGATCTTTGTAAGTCTATTTTTAAAGTTTTAAAGCATCTTGGAATAAAGCTGATGCAGGTTAAGCTCTCTAATTATTAACAACCAGGCTACTAAAACTTAATTAAAGCTGTGGGTTAATGCAGTAGACTTTTACTTAATGAGGTCATATGTCAAACCGAGTTTGTCGGTCATATCCTAGTCTCCCTCTGGACACGTTACAAAACTACCCACACAGTTTGGCACAGCTGGGACTCTCTGCTCAGGAGAGACCAAAGGGCCAGTCTCAGGTACCATGCATTGAACATCCCTAGCCTGTAAAATGCATGAATCAAGCTAGTGCTATTAGAATGTTAATGCCTCACTTTAATGAGCATTACATTTATCCACAATATTAAATAGTAACAATAATTAATGAATGACTTATATACCCAAGGAGAAGACTTCAACTCCTACGTTGCGAAGCTCTCTTGCAGGAATTTCAACTTCATCTTGAGATTTTCCATCCGTAATGATAATTGCTACTTTAGGAATGCCTTTTCTTGCTCCAGCAGATTCAGTGAATGCATTCCTAATCAGATAATCAATAGCTTCACCTAAAAACAACAAAATGGTCTGTGGTTTTCTTAGGTATGAGTGAACTAGGAGTTAAATAGTATTTCAGCTGTAAAATAAAATGCTATACAAACAGATTTCGGTGGAAGTTTTTCCCTCAACTATTGCTTTTAGCTTTCATATGTTATCATGTTTTATATGTTATAAAATCTGTACCTGTCATTGTATTGCCACCTTTGTAAGGTATTTTTTTAATTGCATTAAGAAGATCATTCGTTCTGAAATACTGATTTAAGTTGAACTCAGTTCTTGTATCAGTACTGTACTGAACAACTCCAATTCGTGTCTTTTCTTCCCCAATGTCAAAAGCCGATACAAGAATGTCCATGAAGTCCAAAATATATCTGAAGTTACTTCTCCCAACACTCCACGAGCCATCCACAAGAAAAACTAAATCTGTCAGTGCACTGACGGAACATTCTGAAACACATTAAAAACAACACAAATCTCTTAACAGAACAATGAAAGATCACTTACATATCAATATCTCCAAACACTTTCACTACCCCATACCATAGTCAAAAGCTATCAGTTAAAAATGAACAATAGAACTCTAACAAGTAGAAGCCAAGCCAAACAGAAATTAAACAGATTAGAATCCTTATTTGAAATATCTTACTTGGGTTGGACACCTAGCTTTAGTGACATATCTACTGTGAGGATATTCCAGAAACAGAGAAATTCATTACAATAACATTGATAAGCACTGGGGCAGAAATAGTAAACACTGAACAAAACATTCAATGCTTTTGGTGGAAAATAACTTTACTAAACCACTAATAAAATATAGTATTAGTAAAATGTGTTAAAATGTGATTTTGGAAGTGACAGACTCCTTTTTTGTATGACACACTGATCCTCTATGCAAAAATCACACAACCCAGTTAAACTTTTTATAACTTTTATAAATTAGACCTATTATTAATGGGTCTAATTTGAATCAACACCAAGTTGCTTGTGGCCAAATGTGCCTTTGCATATGTACAAACCTTCCATTGATATCAAAAGGAGATCTGCATATCTGTAGGAAGAATTTGTCCTTGAGGGCCAAATCCTGGGCTTTGGTCCATTTGCAGCACAGGACCTACCAAAGCCGTGCACCCCAACCAGACTTCAAAGCCACAAAGAACTATTTGTGAGCTAAAGGAGGAAGCCAGCCTCAGAAGTGGCTATGTAACACCAGCTCTTCCACTGCCCCAAAGTGGTGTTGCAGTCTCTCTCTCTACCTAGGAACTAAGGGATGACATTGGAGAGGCACTGAGCATGTGCAGCCTGAGCTCCTGATGGCAAGTTTTGGTTGGAGAACCCGAATGGAGCTGCACACCCTCAACAGAGGCCTTCCAACTGGGAGCTCCAAAATGAAACTGTCCATCAGGAGCTCAGGTTGGGGTCAAAGAGCACCTTGTCCTGCAGTGATCAGTAGTTACAAAGGGAGACATACAGCTCCTGCAGCAGTGCACACCCTCCAATATACAATGTTGTAGAAGGATTTGATGCTGGTGAAGAATTAATTCTGATACTGCTCTTCTCTCCCTCCCCCACCCTTATCCCAACATGGCAGCAGTACAGGTTTTTTCTGCAACCCTGTGTGTCCTCAGCAGGGAGACATTTATTAAAGGGCTGAGATGTGCTTAGGGTTGCTCAGAGGACGTGAGCTTATTTGCATGAAATCCCTGGTTCTCAGCTCAGATTTTCACCTCTTTCCCATAGAGAGGCAGCAGATTTTGAGACCCTCCTCAAGTTTAGTCAGCCCAGCACACTCAGCCAGATTACATATTAGTACAACCTTACTGCTAAACAACATAGGCACAGAATTTGACTTTATCATCTGATCCAAAGCCCTGACTTTGCACTGACATAAATGGGCTTTGGATCAAACCCTTAGTTACCTCTAATGTCACATAAGCTGGAAGACAAAAAACGTACTTTTTATGTGACTCTGCTCGGGCTTCTTGTCCTCTGGACTCACTGCAACACCTGTCTGAACTAAACAAACCACAACATAAACAGGATTAGTGGAAAGGAAACAAGAAATTGTCACTTGGCTATAGGTTACATTTTGTAAAAGTCAAGAAAAACAAGGTGAGAAGGAGATAAGTCAACCAGATTTGTAGTGTGCCTCTCTCAGAATGAGAATGCATATGTGCAATTTACAAGTACAATTCCTGGACACTGATTTGACAGCATTAGAGTTAGGCCAATACATAAATAATTACAAATTCCTTGTGCTCACACTGCACCTTCCATCCTGAAGTGTTTATGAGAACTAATAATTAACCTTTGCAACACCATGTAAATCAGGTAAATAATATTATCCCCATCTTACAGATGGGCAAACTGTGATTAAGTAACATGCTTGTGATTATATGAGAAATCTGTGGCAAAGCCAGAAACAAAGCTGCTTATGGGCCACAGATGGCCAGGCTATAGGTATGCAATGATGTTTTGTTGGCCAATTGGCACCAACCCAGAATTTGCTCCTATAACCCAAATATGAAATAGCCACTTAAGTTGCTTTATTCAGCTATGTCTAACTTTTTTATGTGTACTTACTTGTAAGTTGGCCAAAGACAGGTAGACTCTCTTCTCTGTCATCATATGAAGCTATTGTCACAACATATTCTGTATCAGGTGTAAGATCTGACAATATAGTATGGGTAACACTAGGTGCAAGGGTAAATTCTTTAGTAGGTCCATCTGCAATACAACATACAAAGCACATTTAACACAAAGGGTCTAAACCCAATCATAATAATTATGAGTTTTTCATAATCTGAAAACACAGTAGAAAGAGTTATCTGTCCACAGGCTGTAAATAAAATTTTAAAACAGTTGTTTGCCTTCCTGAAACACCTAGTTGCAAAGGACATACAGAACTCCTTCCAATAAAGCATTTTATTTACTCGTCGATTTTAAAACCAATCATGTGTACAATAAAATTAGCTGTCATTCAGAAAATCAGTTTATATAGTGGGTCTGATTCTAACCTCATATCATATTCCAACCTCACATTCTAACCTCATTTTACACGGGTATAACTCCAGTGATTGTAGTTGAGTTACAAATGATTTACACTGGTAAAAATGAAAGGAGATGTGGCCCCAATATTTTACATTCAGAGAGATGCACATTATTTTCCCTAGAAAAAGCACATGGTTGGTATAAGGTACTTTTATGCTATTTAAGCTATTATATTTTTAATAGAAGACCGTTTTCAATTTTCCAATATGTAAAATCAGGCAGAAGAGACATGCTTCCAAATTGGTATTTCTAATACTACTGTGGACGTGCACTGGGCCTGATTCTCAACTGCCTTGCACTGTGAGTAGCCACCAACATGTGTGGAGAATTAGCATGAGAAATACTGTCATTTGGACTTAGTAGCATTTCACATTCACTCTGCACTTCTTAAGGGGCAAGGCAGAGGAGACTCAGAGACACGCCATTTATAGAGTCAGTTTTGGTTAAAAACAGTATGTCTGGATCTGATTCTGAATTCATATCAGTTTTACACTAAGGTCATTAGGAATTACTCCTGATTTAAACTGGGATAACAGCTGAAACAGGATTTCCAGGAATCAGACATCATTAAGAAGATTATCAACAGTGGACATTACCTTCCCCCCATACAGCTAAAAGCAATAGTTGCTAGGGTGACCAGATAGCAACTGTGAAAAAACGGGACAGGCGCCTATATAAGAAAAAGTCCCAAAAAACGGGACTGTCCCTTTAAAAATGGGACATCTGGTCACCCTAATAGTAGCAGAACTTCCACCACCTATCTACCGTCAATGTATGTCATTCAGCAACTATTTCTGACAATGCGCTACATGTTTAAGAAAAAAGTTCTGCAAATCTAATCAACATCAATGAATATTCACTAGTCAACCCTAGAACATTTGGACCTAATCCTGCATAGTGTCTCCTGAGCAGTGCATAGCGCTCTCAATTCCCATTTAAGTTAACAGGAGCTGAAAGTGTTCAGAACTATGCAAGATTACGTATATCTTAGGGAAATGAAAAAGTGGGTAAACTTTCTACACTAACACCAGGATTCCAGGGCCCAACCCTGCAGACCCTTACGGATGTAAGAAGTATCACTGACTTTAGTGAGACTACTCACAAGAGTAAGAGCTCACTGGTATGAATAAGGTTTCGCAGCCAGGATTTTCAAATGACTTTCAATGGGATTTGGGTCCCTAAATCCCTTAGGCCCTTTGAAAATTCCAGTTTGCAATATTGGGCCGCCAAGTGTTTTGAGACAGGGGCTGTTACGAAACTAAACTGCTGAAGAGATTAACCATGAGTGAAGGACCTGAACAGGTGGCAGAACACAAAGGCTAGATTTTGCTATCTGCCTGCATCACGCAGCCAGGGGTAGTGCAGGCTCGCCCTCCCAGGAACTCCCTATTTTCCCTCAGGGGCAGAAATTTACACCTTCTCTTTATGAGGTGTAGCCCTGACTTCACCTACTTCCTGCCCCTCCACACCTAGATGCTCCAAGGGAGAAGCATCTAGAGCACAATCCTTGCGTATTCCAAAGCGTTGAAGCTACAATGCAGGTAGCCCTAACACATGCCACACAAGAGAGGGAAATCCTTGCTCCCTCCTACGCCTCTATGGAGCTGTGTAAGGACAAGGCACAATCTTACCTGAAAAATTAGGACGTTAACATCTATCCTCACACTTCATTTCGACACTTACACAAAAATCATTTTTAATAGATTTCACAAAAACAAATGTAGTGGTGTGAGATCATGTGACTTTATAAAACAAAACCTTACCAGTCGTAGGGACCACTGTTATCCTGTACCCCTCTATTGCATCAGGTGGTCTTGTCCATGACATTCTAACAGTATGTTCATCTATAATTGTAAAATTCAAGTCTGACGGTGGATTAACTGCAAAAGATTTACATCAGGGAAATGTTTACTAAATAGAACAAGCTACCATCATCTTAATAAATAAAATAATAATATTGAGCAAAGCTTACTAAGATTGTCTTTGCATAAATTTGTTTCCAACAAATATAAAGATATGTTGTTGGAAAAAAGAGTAAAATAAAAGATGACGAAATATGACAAAACATCAGAGAGCATACGCATTACAAAGGACAGCACAGAACATTTGTTTCTTGAGTTGCCAAGTCATTCAAGAATGGCCAGCAAAATCAAGCACAATAGAAAACACATTTGGATACATGTACAATGAGTTCACAGATAATAACCACATATGCAAACATGTCACATAACAATTAAAGGATTTTTTGTACATGCTGGGTGCAGATCGTACAAGCATGCCAAATCACAACCTGCTTACAACACCATGAGATCATTTAGAACATCAATACAGTACTCTTTTCCATACGACATCAAATAATTGATCATCTTTTTGAAATGGTCTCTGCATACTCATATTTCTTACCAATTATATTTCACTAAATCTAAAAACTTGGCAGAGATAAAGAAAAATAGATTTTTTAATAATACAGAAAAAGTTTGAGCATTTTAATGTTTAGTCAAACAATTTATATTATGTTCAATATGTAAGTATACATGTCAAATGTATATCAAGAATACTATATCCATGTATTACATTATTCCCAAGTACTGGGAGCTTAACCCCTTTGTTCCTAGGTGCCACTAATCTGGCATATTTTGCATATGGTTGCAAAGAATTCAGGAATGAAGGGGTTAACAAATAACAATGGTTATAAGGAATTTGCTGTAATATCTGAACTGATACAAAAGTTCACAAAACTACGATTCTCCCTGTTTACACCAGTTTGCTGTACAATTTCCAAGGTGTAAACCATCGTTATCATGTTCCCTTTGCAGCAGGTGTACCCATACTAGAAGTAGCATTTTAACATAAAATGCCAGTATGGTTCTTTCAAACACATTGGTTAATTATGAAAAGACAACATCAAGGTATATTTGTAGACATTTATTTACAGAACTTATAGAAAACAGTGAAGAGGGCACCAGTGATCGGAACAAAGGACTGCAAATAAAAACTTGTAGGAGCTGGTGACAAAAGTAATTGAACAGTATAGAAAGAAATAGTTTACATACGCTATTTTGCAGCATCATGCATATGGACATGAAATGTCAATTATTATTTTTTTAGCTTCCCACAATGGACAAAAGCCTCCATGTACAGGGTTCATTACACAAAGACGTTTCATAAAATATTTTATAATGATATTCTCTTTTTAAAATTTTCATGCTCAGTCATGCAGTATTTTACTGACTCACTGTCAGTGCATGGTAGGTATAGTATAGATTACTATTTAAACAGGTCTACAAAGTAAGATAAGATTCAGCCATACTTTCCATAAATACTTTACTCTGTTTTGCAAGCATTCTTTATTAGTCAGACTTTGTCTGTTTCCTGGAAGATCTCCATCACATATTAAGGATTTTTTGTTTTGTTATTTAAACACGTTTCAATGAAAAGAGCATCTTTGAGACATAAATCACAGAATTTAAACTGCTGCTAGGCCTTTATACAATAATTATAAATGATAAAAATGAAGTAGACAGTCTTTTTATAGATATGTACTGTCACTTCCAACCATAGGATAATATGGCTTTGTAATATTGATATAATAGATATACTAGTACTGGAATAAATGTTATTTTTCCTATTATCCATACACAGGCAGTGAGATTAGACTATTAATCTGCATGCAGTTTTTTCATCATTCTGGTTCCTGTAATCACACTGCTAGAGACAGCAAAGTAGTTATTTAGTAACAAAATCATGCAACAGATGTTAATAGTAAAATACATTTGCATATTAAGAATATCATTATAAAATATTGATTCAGTAGCAATGGCTCAGGACAAATTTAATGCAAAGGCAGAGACAACTGACCTGAGCATGCTTCAAAAGAAAAAAAAAATCAGTACATGGAAAAAATAGCACCACCAACCTTGAAAGTAAATTGACCTGATGCAGCAGAGACCTTAGGCTGTAACTGCTGAAGGACAGCAGCAGCCCAACTTGTTGATATCCAAATGACCGGATTCCTGATAAACTGAAAAACTGACTGTGGGGAAAAGTCTTTAACATTTTAAAGGATTTTATGAAAACTCATAAGTGGTACTTGGAAATTAAAAAGTAGAGTACAATCAATATTTAACTACTGTAAATGCCATCCACATATGAAAGCTAAACAAATCCAAATGCTGCTCCCATTAAAGTCACAGGAATTTTCCCTTGGACATGCAGGATTTGGCCCCCAGCCATTAACATTTCTATTGAATTAACACCATTCAAGTGAAAGAAAAGCAATTTAGACTCCAAGCCTGCAACTGGATCCAAGCCTCACCCAAAACCCCACGGACTCCAGTGGGGTTCTGCACAGACCAAGGGTTAACCCCTGTGGAACTTATTGCAGGCTCGGGGCCTAACTGTGGTCATATGACTCAGAACAAGGAGTCAAATGAAGCATTGTAAAAGATTTCTGTGGTAAAAATCTCATTATGTTAATCAAAAATAAATGAGACAACTGCTATTTCACATTATTATTCTTATTCCCTGGCTCACCATGACGAAATCATATACTTGTTATATGGGCTCAATACTGCAGTACTTTAATAGACAAAATGTCCACTGAACACAATGGGAGTTTTGCCTATGCTAGGCCTAAGGAACAGGGCCCCTAAAGCCCTGATCCTACAAAGACCTATGTATGCATATAACTATACTCATGTGAGTAGCCCTCATCAAGATTTCTCATGCAAATAAAGTTACCAGTGTGTAAGTCTCTGCAAGACAGAGATTAGGCATTTACTGCCTGATCCTGTGCTGTCAATGGCAATGCTTCCATTGACTTCAGAGGTACAGGATCAGGACCTTAATGTATGGTGATGCCATAATATTACAGCAAATATGGGAAAGGAGAATAATAAGATATATTTGCCTAGTAACCCAAAAACTAATAATACTTGATAAGGTTGTTCAGTTACTTAATGAGAGAAAAATTACATTGTTTGCTTAGTACTAATGATATAGAACTCATTTAAAACAATATAAATGTCTCTAAATCATGGAACTTGCAGCTAAATGGCCGCAGACTGGTCTCAATCCACCACACAATCAGGGCCAATCATTTGACCTGGGCCTCAAGCTCAAAGGGGGCCTCAAATTTAGACACTTGTTAATTTTTTGGCATTTGATAAGTTTAGCAACTTGTTTTTATGCGCATCCCTATCAGACCAAAATGTGGCACACTCTCTCAGCTTAGTGCTGCAAATTTAAGCAAATAAGAGACATATTTTGGTAAAAGACATAATTTTTTTGTTAACTAATGATATAGATTTTGTCATATTAAAGTGTTAAAAATGTTCATAAATATTGCGTATTTTTGTCAGTTTGCCTGCATCAGTGGCTTCAGGTGAATGGACCTTCAACATGTTGAAGCAGGTAAAGAACTATCACCGTTCAGCTATGGGACAAGAGCGTTTGAATAGGCTCACCGTGCTTAATATCAACTGTGACATTGCACGAAAGCTAGATTTTTCCTCAATAATTAGTGCATTTCTACAGAAAACGGCTAGAAAAGCATTTGTTAAATAAAAAAATATTCAAATTATGTCTCACTCTTTTTTGGTGCCTTATATTGTTTTCATGTGTCATCATTTTTTATTTTTATTATGGCTAGGGGCCTCAAAAGCTGGAGGTGCCCTGGGCCTCTCTTGACCTCTGAGAGGGCCTGCACACAATTCACTAATTCCACCAGGGCTTGGGGGCAATAAGGAGGTTCCAATGAATTAAACAAACAACTTACAATAAGCCATTTTTAGAAGCCAATATTTCATGTGTTCATATATGTCTCAGTCACTTCTAGAACTATCGTAATATAAATTTCTTTATTATATAACCTATGTTATATATCAGGGGTAGGCAACCTACGGCATGCGTGCCAAAGGCGGCACGTGAGCTGATTTTCAGTGGCACTCACACTGCCTGGGTCCTGGCCACCGTCCGGGGGGCTCTGCATTTTAATTTAATTTTAAATGAAGCTTCTTAAACATTTTAAAAACCTTATTTACTTTACATACAACAATAGTTTAGTTATATTTTATAGACTTCTAGAAAGAGACCTTCTAAAAATGTTAAAATTATTACTGGCATGCAAAATCTTAAATCAAAGTGAATAAATGAAGACTCGGCACACCACTTCTGAAAGGTTGCCGACCCCTGTTATATATCCCCAAAAAAATGCATGTCCAGTCATAATGTATCTAATTCATACCACTATTTATATTGTATATATCAGAATATTTTCTAAGACTAAAAACATAGAGGTTTTTTCCCCTTGTTATGTATACACTATATTGGTTTGTATTGCTTAGCAGATAGCACAAACCCAATATAAAATAAAAGCCAATGGCATTTCACAGATTGTACAAGGTAGCTGCTAGAGGTTCCCAATGAATATCTAACGAGAGAGGAAAAGATTACTTAAAAGAATACTGTCAAATAATTTAGATCCATAATTTGACCTATAGTAAAATTATCATACTCTAGAAGCTGCTGTCCTGCAGCATCTAACTATCCGTTAAATAAAAATTCCAACCTCATCACAGAAATTAAAGTAACCACTACCATTTTTGGGGGGCACATAAAATAGTATGGTATGATTTCTCTCGCTGGCTAGCATTGCAGCAGCAGTCAAACAATACGTCTAATCTTGCTCCTACTGAAGTGAGTTCTGTGAAGGATGGACAGGACCCAATATTCATGTTTATTCGTCAGTTATTCTTTTCTTTTATATATGGCATGGATTTGTTTTTATGCAGCTAACCAGACACTAAACCCAGCTCCGTTCCCATTAAGGTCAAAGTTACTGATCTCACTGAAGGAAAAAATAAGCCTCTTATTTTAATAA